CTTGCATTTAGGCAATCATATTTATTTTCTAATATCTATGATACAGAAAAAAAAGCTGATCAAATCTGAATAAATCTGTGTTGCAACTCCATTCACTGTAACTAAGTAGTATGACATGTGTTTAAAATGCATGCAAAAATGGAGTTTGGGATTAAGTTCTTTCATTTTATTTTTATAGATGAGGGAGCATCCAGACACAACTTTGGTTCTAGTTAACAGTTTTAAAGGTCAAAATCAGTGCCCATTTTTATTTCTCTCCCAGTGTTCCTATTATCAAACCCAAGGACTTGCTTTATGATTATTTTACTTTCTCTCTTTGATTATTTTAACACTCTGACTCCTATAAAAGTTAATAATGGTAATAATGGGAATAAGAATAAATATGAGAAGGTTTAGGAGGATAAACAGCATGTGCAAAATGCTGAAAATATACATGCTTCATAATAGTCGTTTAGTCTTTTTTCTTTTATCTCTATGACCAATTATGCATACCTTTTTTTAGGGTTTTACAGTGAAAAGTAATCATCAATACATTAACAGTTACAAACCACATACTCACAATTAAAATATATTTAATACTAGGTTGCCAGACACTGTGGTGGGGATGGGGCAATCCTGTATTCCCAGTGACTCAGGAAGCTGAGGCAGAAAGATCACAATTTGAGACCAGCCTTGGAAATTTCTAGAAAGCAAAAGGAAGGAGAGAGGGGAGAGTGATTGAGCATGTAGTACAGTGATAGAGTGCCCCTGGGCTCAATCTCCACACAATCAACAAAACAATGAATTCTGAAGTTTAGAAAACAGAACAGCAAACCAACCTTAAATCTTTAATATTTTTCTTACATTGAATTAAGAATGAAGAATATAAGTTCTAACACTAATTCTTCAGAAAGACAATTAAAATAAATAAATTGCTGAGAAGATCATCCAAGGAATAAAAGAGAGAAAAGCTCAAAACAACCAAACTCAGCAGCAAAGGAAGGGAAATTAATTGACTTTACTCTATGCATTTGTTTTAGTTGGGTCTTATAAATAGCAACAGGCCTGGCTGAGAAGAACCTCCCATGCATGACCCTTTATAGGACTACTTTAAAAGAGGATGAGGAAGTAACAAAGGATCTAACAGCTAGGTCACTAAATAATTATACAGAGTACAGGATACCTCCTTTAACAATTTACTGCCCCCTTTCAAACCATCAACTTACCTGGCATTAAATTACATGATCAAGTAATGTTTTTATTGGTTGAACTACTATACTTTGTAAAATTTGTTTTTCATATGATTTATTACACTCAAAAACATGTTGAGCATAAAAGTAAATGGATGAAACATTTCTGTTTAAAAGTAAATGGATTAAATGTTTCAATTTAAAGCTTTAGAGTGACTAAATGTATAAAAAGAAGCAAGACCCAGCTACATGTGTTGCTTACAAGAAAATCACTTCACCTCTAAGGACATGCATGGACTGAAAGTGAGTAAAACAATCCATGCAAATGGAATTTGAAAGAAAGCAGGAGTAGTCACACTTTGATAGCTAGAAAATAACTTTGGTAAAAATCTATTATAGAAAATGTTTGATAACTAAAAAAAAAAAATGTATGGAAATGGAACAACTTTCTTTTGAATTACCAGTAGATCATGGAAGAAATCAGGAAAGACATTTAATTTTTTTCTCAAAATAAATAAATGAATAAATAAAAATGGAGAAACCACATTGCAAAAAAATCTTATAAGACACAGCTAAAGTTGTATTGAGGGACATTTAGAGCAATCAAAACCTACATCAGAAAAGCAGAAAGGACTAAAATAAACAATTTAACCACTGCATCTCAACTAGAATAACAAGGAAAATCAAACCCAAAATTAGTGGAAAGAAGAAAAAGTTGAGAGAAGACCCAAATAAATAAAATTAGAAATGAAAAATGATTCATTATATCAGACACAACAAAATTTAAAGAATTATTAGAAATTATTATAAACAACTATATGCCAACAAATTTGATAGCTTAGAAGAAATGAAAAAAAATTTCTGGGAACATACCTTACCAAAATTAAAACATAAAAGAATAAAAACTCTGAACAAATCAATAACAACCAATGAGATTGAATCAGTCATGGAAATTCTCCCATTAAAGAAAAGCCCAGGACAGATGGCTGCACTGCTGAATTCTATCAAAAATTTAAAGAAAAATACCAGTTATCCTTTAATAATTTACAAAAATAAAAAAAGAAAGAAAAAGAAGATGGAGTTCTTCCAAACATATTTTTTAAGGTCAGCATAACTCATATACCAAAAGCACATAAGGACACATCAGAACTACAGGCCTTGGTGAATCTAGATGCAAAGATCCTTGACAAAATACTAGCTAACTGAATCAAAGAGCACATATAAAAAAGCATTCAGGGAATTGTCAGATGGCAGATTAGATGAAAGAGCACTCTCCACCACTTGAGATTCATGCAGCAGCAATATTGCTTCTTAGAGATATGTGGCAGAGGGGATTCACTGAAATTCAACAATTTGAAAAATGCAAAAGCTTTGAACATAGAATATGAAATAGTACTTTAGATATGCCAGCTTTGCTGACAGTGATAGTACCACTATTCCATTGCAGAGGGGTGGGGTGACACAGACAGAAAGTGGAAAACACTGGGGATAAATTTGGTTTGGAAGAACCTATGGAGCAGAAAGGGAGGCTGATCACAACTGACCCAAAGACACTGCTGCAAGTTTACAATGTAAAAATAATCAGAATCTCTTGGTTGTTCAGTGGAAAGTTGCAGCAGGTACCATCTGCAAGAGACCTCGTGGCAGTCTGCAGATGCGTGATCAGGAGTTCATAAAAGCTGTTGCCATCCTGTCCCAGTTGACAGGGATCCACAGTGAGCTGGACCATTGTGACTGACGTGGCACAGTCAGGACTGTGCTCGGGGAGGTCCAGGCTGGGGATACCAATGGGAGACAGGCTTGAGTTCTCTTTGTTGCTGGAAGCCCATGCAAACAGCTGGGAAGAAGCCAGAAACTGGTCAGACAGGCAATCCTGCACTTCAGACCTGATGGTGGAAAAATTACATCCATGGTGGTTGAATATGAGAGACTTGAAGGGGCGAGGGGATTCCACACTCTTCCTTGAGACCTAGGCATTGAGCAGAGACCCTCAGGAACAGGGGGTATGGATCTAATCTTGAGTATCTTTCAATAAAATTCAAAAGGATAGCAGCACTTAATGCCAGCTTCTGAGTGCATTGACCTTGTCAGTCCAGACAAAACTCCAGCTGTTGGAACTCTCCAGTCTGTCATACCCTACACGGTGAGGCCAGGCAGCAGAGAGCAACTATAACCAGCTTAGGTTCCAGGTACACCAGCTGCCAGCTTGGTGAGAAACTCGAAGGGTTCAGATTTAGCAATGCAAGGCCTTGATTAAAGGGGTACATACCCCCCCAAAAAAAGGTAAAGAATGGTGCAACAGCATAAGCAATGGACACCCATGCCTGCCAACAGTTTTGACCACCTAAGCTGAACAGAAGTCTTTCATTTTTCATTAATAATTTTTGTATTTTTTTCCTCTTTAAAAACCTTATCCAGTCTGGGGATGTGGCTCAAGCGGTAGCGCGCTTGCCTGGCATGCGTGCGGCCGGGGTTTGATCCTCAGCACCACATACAAACAAAGATGTTGTGTCTGCCAAGAACTAAAAAATAAATACTAAAAATTCTCTCTCTCTCTCTTTAAAAAAAAAAAAACTTTATCCATTCTCTGTTCGTACGTGTGTGTGTGTGTTCTCACTGTGTTGATAGGTTCTAGTGTGTGTATTCATATGATTTTATTTCATTTTAATAACTTTTTTTGTGTGTGGGGGGTGGCTACCAGTGATTGAACTCAGGGCCCTCAACCACTGAACCACATCCCTAGCCCTATTTTGTATTTTATTAGAGACAGGGTCTCACTGAGTTTCTTAGTGCCTCGCTTTTGCTGAGGCTGACTTTGAACTCATGAGCCTCCTGCCTCAGCTTCCTGAGCAACTAGGATTACAAGCATGTGCCACCATGCCAGGCTCATTTTAATAACTTTTTAATAACTTCACCCATTTGTTGTTCATCATCCTTTTTTTTCTTGTGGTGCTGGTGACTGAACCCATGGCATTGGGCATTCGAGGCAGGCACTCTGAGCTATATCCCAGCCCTGTTGTTCAGCCTGCTTTTGATTTTGTTTTTGACTTGGGAGGGGTAAAATTTTATGTGGGTTTGCTTTGGTGTGACTTTTTTCTTTTTTTCTCACCTTTGTTTTTGTTCCTCTTATTATTCCTTCACTTCCTCCTCCTTTAATAGTTAAATATCTTATTTCCTCTTCCTCCCTTAATCTCTTTTATTACTTTGTTATTTTTCCATTCTTCCATCTTTATCTTCATCACCTGATACCTCTCTCCTGCTTTACCTTTGTTCATTTTTTAAGTATTTAAAGCTTTCTCTTGTCTTTCTACCTCATTATCTTTTCATGTAGGAAACTATAATTTTACTATTTTAGAACTATTTGGTTTACATAATTCCTATTGCCACCCTTCATGTCATTGTGGTTATTAATATGGTAATGATATAATTGACACCTGCTGTTGAATGTTAGCTGTAGTTCACAGCTGTTTATTGTTGGTGCTGTCCCACCATTTCTCTTATTTTTTCTCTTTTTGTACCAGAGCTAGAAACTAGTGGTTTTTAACAACTGAGCCACATCCCCGGCCCTTTTTATTTTTTATTTTGTGACAGAGTTTCACTAAGTTGCTTAGGGCCTCACTAAGTTGCTGGGCTGTCATTGGGCTTTGGATGCTCCTGCATCAGCCTCCCAAATTTCTGGAATTACAGGTGTGTGGAACCATGCCCAGCCCAATAATCCTCTTTATGTAGCAATTAGTGTTTTACATGTCATAGTAGGCATGGGACAATTATTCTGAAACTCTAAATTGTTTGCTACTATTGTTTCTATTCCTTATTTCCCCTTTTCTTAAGAGAGGCTTGGAAGTGATTTGGACACTGCAAGTTCATGGAGTAGAGATCCTGTTGGTGAGCTATACTCACAACTCAGTGAAGTGCAAGCAAATCTCACTCCATTCAAGAACTAGCCTCACCTGAGCTTCAACAACACTTTAACACATAGAATTTGGGAGAGAAAATCCTAACTCAATGATCAAGTTGCACTCTTGAACATCTACTCAAGGGATCCAAACAGAGAAAAGTACCAAGATAACTGCACACTGAAGGACACACACATATACAAGAGGAAGAGGAATCCATTTCAACAGATGGACAAGTCCAAGACTTCGGAAAACATGAGAAAACTGATAAACAAATCTCCCCTCAAAATTTATAATTCCCTGACAAAGGAAGCTGCAGATCTGAAAATGAATAAAATTCCAGAGGACTACTATAAAACTGATTATTAAAATGTTTAATGAAATAAAAGATGATCGAAGGAATGAATTAAGAGAGCAAATACAGGAGGTGGAACACCATTTCAACATAGAAATGGAGATACTAAAAAGGAATCAATCAGAACTCCTAGAAATGAAAGACACAGTGAATCAAATAAAAAATTCACTAGAAAGTATCATCAACTAATTAGATTACATAGAAAACTGAACTTTAGGCCTTGAAAACAGAGTATATGAATCTGAACACTCAGTATAAAATAAAGGGGAAAAAAGATCATCATTAGAATGTGCAAAAATCCTGGGAACACCTGAAGAGATCAAATTTGAGAGTTTGAGAGTCATTGAGGGGAAGATAATCTGGAGATTCAATAAGCATTAAGATTTTTTCAGTAAAATAATAGCAGGAAAATTTTCTAAGCTTAGAAATGGATGAACAACCACATACAGAATGCATATAGAACCCCAAATAGACAAGACCAAAAAAGAACCTCCCCAAGATACATCATAATGGAAGTACCTAATGTAGTAAATGAGCAAAAAACATTAAAAGCTGCAAGAGAAAAACATCAGGTTATATTTAGAAATAGAGCAATAAGACTCACTTCTGACTTATCCACTCAAACCTTAAAATCAAAGAGGGCCTGAAATGAGATATTCCATATTCTGAAAGAAAGCAATTTCCATACAAAATTGCTATATCCAGCAAAGATCTCTTTCAAAATCAAAGGGTAAATAAAAACTTTCATTAATTAAAAAGTCAGCACTATAAAAAGAGTTAAACATATATCACACACAGAAGAAATCAGAAACATACCCTAAAGCTACCAAATGGATGATGCTGCCTGAAAGAGCAATTGATTATATGAAAATTAAGATAGAATTGAGTATATCAAATCAAAATAGAAGGAGATACACACACACACACACACACACACACACACACACACACATATATATATATATATATATATATATATATATATATAAAACTGAATGTAAATTATCTCAACTCCTGAATTAAAAGACATACCTTAGTAGAATGGATTAAAAAACAACAACAAAATCTAAGTATATTCTATTTGCAAGAGATTCATCTTATTGACACAGACATCTACAGGCTGAAAGTAAAAGGCTGAAAAAAACAATTCCATCAAATCGAATCAAAAAACAAGGAGTAGCTTTTCTCATATTTGAAAAAGCAGATTTTGAGCAAAACTTGATCAGAAGAGACAAAGAAAGTCACAACATACTGGAAAAAGGAACAATCCAACATATAATGATGACAAATATTTATGCCCCCAAAGCTGGTGTATCTAATTACAATAAAACAAAAACCAACAAAAAAAAACTTCTTGATATTAAATCTCAGATAGAATCCAATCCAATAACAAAATATTGCATAAATTCAACATACCTCTTTCCAGTAGGCAGGTCATTCAGGCATAAAATCAATAGATACTTCAAACCTAAATTATACTATAAATCAAATGAACCTAAAAAACATCTATAGAATATTTCACCCCAAACATCTGAATTTACCTTCTTCTCAGAAGTAGAACCTTTTCTGAAATAGACTATGTTGTAGGTCACAATCTAAGTCTTAGCAAATACAAAAATAAATAAATAAAAGACATAATCCTCAGAACATCACGGACTGAAATGAAATTGAGAATAAAAAAATAATAAAAACCAATAGAGAGTTTGTCTCCTGGTAAAGAAAGTGAGTCACATACACCCAAGTCTCTCTCACTTTGTCATCAAGCCAGAGGGGCAGAGCAGAGCCGCCGCCCGCGCCCGGAACAGGCCCAGCGACCTGCCGGCGTGGTAGTCACGACACCCCAATTGGAGGAGGGGCAGAGCAGAGCTGCCACCCGCGCCCGCAAGGTAGGCAGACCTGCGACCGACCGGTGGAACAGGCCCAGCGGCATGCCGGCGTGGCAGACACGACACCCCAATTGGAGTCGGGGCCGAGCAGAGCCGCCACCAGCGCCTGCAAGGTAGGCAGACCTGCGGCCGACTGGCAGAACAGGCCCAGGGGTCTGCGGGCATGGTAGACACGTCACACCAATTGGAGAAGGGTCAGAGCAGAGCCGCCGCCCGCGCCTGCAAGGTAGGCAGACCTGCGACCAACCAGCAGAACAGGCCCAGCGGCCCATCAGCGGGGTAGACAGATCACCCCAATTGGAGGAGGAGCACAGCCGCCGCCCGCCCCTGCAAGGAAGACTTTTCAACTTTACAAGAGCAATATAAATATATAGGGGGAAAATTTCAAAAACACAACAGTTTCACCAAGCAGAAAGAAACGCGAGCAGTATGAAAAGACAAGGAAAGAAAGGACCACAAGCAATGCAGGTCAACTCAACTTTAGAAGAGGTAATATCTGCAGCAGATGGAATGTCAGATAAAGAATTCAGGATATACATGCTTCAGATGATCTGGAGTCTCAAGGAAGACATTAGACAGCAAAATCAGACAATGAAAGATCACTTCGACAATGAATTACATAAACAGATCCAAGAAGCAAAAGATCAACTATACAGGGAGATAGAGGTTATAAAAAACAAACAGAAATCCTAGAAATGCAGGAAGCAATAAACCAACTTAAAAACTCAATTGAGAATACTACCAGCAGAGTAGAACACTTAGAAGATAGAACATCAGACAATGAAGACAAAGTATTTCAACTTGAAAAGAACATAGACAGCTCAGCAAGACTGTTAAGAAACCATGAGCAGAACATCCAAGAAATATGGGATAACATAAAGAGACCAAACTTAAGAGTCATTGGGATACAGGAAGGTATAGAAGTCCAAACCAAAGGAATGAGCAATCTATTCAATGAAATAATACGAGAAAACTTCCCAGACTTGAAGAATGAGACAGAATCCCAAATCCTAGAAGCCTACAGGACGCCGAATGTGCAAAATCATAAGAGATCCACACCTACACACATTATAATGAAGATGCCCAACATACAGAATAAGGAGAGAATTTTAAAAGCTACAAGAGAAAGGAAGCAGATTACATTTAGGGATTAAACCAATCAGGATAACAGCTGATCTTTCAACACAGACTCTGAAAGCTAGAAGACCCTGGAATAACATATTTCAAACACTGAAAGAAAATGGGTTCCAACCAAGAATCGTGTATCCAGCGAAATTAAGCTTCAGGATGGAAGATGAAATTAAAACCTTCCACAATAAACAAAAGTTAAAAGAATTTGCAGCTAGAAAACCATCTCTTCAAAACATCCTCGCCAAAACATTACAGGAAGAGGAAATGGAAAATAACAATGAAAACCAACAGTGGGAGGTAGGACAGTAAAGGGGGGAAAATAATCAAAGAGGAAAACAAACCATGTTTAGTAACATAAATAAACAAATATGGCTGGAAGAACAACCCATATCTCAATAATAACCCTAAATGTTAATGGCTTAAACTCACAAATTAAGAGACACAGGCTAGTATAATGGATCACAAAACAAGACCCAACAATATGCTGCCTACAGGAGACTCATTTGATAGGAAAAGACATACATAGACTGAAGGTGAAAGGTTGGGAAAAATCATATCACTCATATGGACTTCGGAAACAAGCAGGAGTGTCCATACTCATATCAAATAAAATAGATTTCAAGCCAAAGTTAATCAAAAGGGATAAAGAGGGACACTACATACTGCTCAAGGGAAACATACACCAACAAGACATAACAATCATAAATATATATGCCCCAAACAATGGTGCAGCTATGTTCATCAAAAAAAACTCTTCTCAAGTTCAAGAGTCTAATAGACCACCATACAATAATCATGGGAGACTTCAACACACCTCTCTCACCACTGGACAGACCTTCCAAACAAAAGTTGAATTAGGAAACTATAGAACTCAATAACACAATTAATAACCTAGACTTAATTGACATATATAGAATATACCACCCAACATCAAGCAGTTACACTTTTTTCTCAGCAGCACATGGATCCTTCTCAAAAATAGATCATATATTATGTCACAGGGCAACTCTTAGACAATATAAAGGAGTAGAGATAATACCATGCATCTTATCTGATCATAATGGAATGAAACTGAAAATCAATGATAAAAGAAGGAAGGAAAAATCATGCATCACTTGGAGAATGAACAATAGGTTACTGAATGATCAATGGGTTATAGAAGACATCAAGGAGGAAATTAAAAAATTCTTAGAGATAAATGAAAACACAGACACAACATATCGGAATCTATGGGACACATTGAAAGCAGTTCTAAGAGGAAAATTCATTGCTTGGAGTTCATTCCTTAAAAAAAGAAAAAACCAACAAATAAATGATCTCATACTTCATCGCAAAATCCTAGAAAAAGAAGAGCAAAACAACAGCAAAAGAAGTAGAAGGCAAGAAATAATTAGAATCAGAGCTGAAATTAATGAAATCGAAACAAAAGAAACAATTGAAAAAATTGACAAAACTGAAAGTTGGTTCTTTAAAAAAATAAATAAAATCGACAGACCCTTAGCCATGCTAACGAAGAGAAGAAGAGAGAGGACTCAAATTACTAGCATACGGGATGAAAAATGCAACATCACAACAGACACTTCAGAAATACAGAAGATAATCAGAAATTATTTTGAATACTTATACTCCAATAAAATAGAAGATAGTGAAGGCATCGATAAATTCCTTAAGTCATATGATCTGCCCAGATTGAGTCAGGAGGATATAGACAACCTAAACAGACCAATATCAATTGAGGAAATAGAAGAAACCATCAAAAGACTACCAACTAAGAAAAGCCCAGGACCGGATGGGTATACAGCAGAGTTTTACAAAACCTTTAAAGAGGAACTAATACCAATACTTTTCAAGCTATTTCAGGAAATAGAAAAAGAGGGAGAACTTCCAAATTCATTCTACGAGGCCAACAAAACCCTGATTCCTAAACCAGACAAAGACACTTCAAAGAAAGAAAACTACAGACCAATATCTCTAATGAACCTAGATGCAAAAATCCTCAATAAAATTCTGGCGAATTGGATACAAAAACATATCAAAAAAATTGTGCACCATGATCAAGTAGGATTCATCCCTGGGATGCAAGGCTGGTTCAATATATGGAAATCAATAAATGTTATTCACCACATCAATAGACTTAAAAATAAGAACCATATGATCATCTCGATAGATGCAGAAAAAGCATTCACCAAAGTACAGCATCGCTTTATGTTCAAAACTCTAGAAAAACTAGGGATAACAGGAACATACCTCAATATTGTAAAAGCAATCTATGCTAAGCCTCAGGCTACCATCATTCTGAATGGAGAAAAACTGAAGGCATTCCCTCTAAAATCTGGAACAAGACAGGGATGCCCTCTCTCACCACTTCTGTTCAACATAGTTCTTGAAACACTGGCCAGAGCAATTAGACAGACGAAAGAAATTAAAGGCATAAAAATAGGAAAAGAAGAACTTAAATTATCACTATTTGCAGATGACATGATTATATACCTAGCAGACCCAAAAGGGTCTACAAAGAAACTATTAGAGCTAATAAATGAATTCAGCAAAGTGGCAGGATATAAAATCAACATGCATAAATCAAAGGCATTCCTGTATATCAGCGACAAATCCTCTGAAATGGAAATGAGGACAACCACTCCATTCACAATATCCTCAAAAAAATAAAATAAAATACTTGGGAATCAACCTAAAAAAAGAGGTGAAAGACTTATAAAATGAAAACTACAGAACCCTAAAGAGAGAAATAGAAGAAGATCTTAGAAGACGGAAAAATATACCCTGTTCATGGATAGGCAGAACTCACATCATCAAAATGGCGATATTACCAAAAGTTCTCTATAGGTTTAATGCAATGCCAATCAAAATCCCAATGGCATTTCTTGTAGAAAT